GCGCCTCACTTTCGCTTTTCCCACCAGCTGACCAGAAATAAACCACAACAGTACGCTACCGTTTTCCGATTTAGGAGTGTTTAATTAGCATCCATTACATGAGTGTGTGTGTGATTTAACTTTTGGCGGCCTGAGAATCGTTTAAATTTTGGAAATTGAATTCACTTGACTGGCTGCCCCCAACCAGGGAATTCTTATCAGATTCTGATAAAACCGCCTGGATTAGATAAATTGTGCAAACATATATTTGTTTTCAACATTGAGCATTTCAGGGTTGAGTGTACTGGTAAATTTTGATTACATATTAGTTAGAAGTTAAATATTTCATGCGCAACACTAGCAAATGTTTTATAACTCATTTTTAGTTACTGGTACTTGAGTAGAGCATGTATTGTTTAATTTTGAACTTAATCAATACCGTGCATTATAAGTAATTGCTTCTTTTATAATAATAACATCCGGCGGGCGCTGAAAATCACTCAATAACTTTAAATAAACACACGACATTTGCGAGAAATTGGCCGTGGGCAATTTATTTGTGAAAAGGAGAGAATTAAATGCCAAAACCATTAAAAGCTGCAGATAATCGTTTTGCATTCATGGACGAGCCTAATTAAATTCAATTGAATTAAGCTGGACAGAGTTGAACAATTAAAACGCAAACGCAATTAAGCCAAATAAATCGAGTGAAGATGGAAAATAGTGCGAAGCAAATAAAAACAAAAAAATATATATAATGAAAACACAATTGAAACAGATACGAAAATTAAGTTTATAAATACATATACTAGTAGCTTGTTTACACTCATTCCAATGCATTTGTTCTGCCTGCAGTGAAAACCGCATAATTCATTTGCCAAAACAACCAAACCAAAAAAGTAAATAAATAAATATCGAAGTGAACGTGATACGTCCTCAACCCAATTAGCAGTTAAATACATAAACATCAGCTATCCACAATGCGTCGCAACATCAAATTGATTGTATTCGTGAGCATCATCTGGATGTTCGTGATGGTCTACTACTTCCAGTCCAGCACAGAAAAGGTAAGTTTAACAATAGGACGCTTTAAACAAGCTCAACTGGGGCAGTTATGTAGCCAAAGATATCTTTGGTTACTTATTCCCAATACATTGTGGTGTCCAATATCTTATCATCATAAGATGATGGGTCTTTCGCACGCATTCCTGCTCACTTTCCTTTTCCTTTTTCCTTGTCTTGTTATCTGCCACTTCATTTACATACAAGTAGATATACCTATATATACTGTACTTTGCTGATCACGAAATTCGTGGCAACTTTGAAGCGGATCCACCCTTCCTCTTCCGTCTGAATCATCATTACCATCTTTTTTGATGATGGCATCGCAGAGGACCGTTGCGTATGCCCCCTGCATAGTAATTATTCGATTGCTGCCGCATATAGCCTGCCTGCCACCAACTTGACAGCCCATTGTTTTCTCTTGCCACCTGCACACCCGCTCACCCGCTCACCCACCTCGTAATTAGCCCCATGTATCTCTTGGCCACCTGTATTTTTGTCGCTTACTCTACAAGTTTTAATTAAGTTTTTTTTGACTGCCAGTTTGTGTTTATTTATTAGAGCTATAGCTACAGTTTGGGGTTACATTGAGCCTTTTCTGGGGCTGTGCTTCTTATCGGAAGGCAAATTTTGTGTCATAAAGCACACCAATTAAAATTATCTTTACGTGTTGGCCCCTCTGCATGCAGGACACATCAAGTGGGTCGGGTAACTCCAACTATAAATGCGGGTTTTGCTCAGCGTTGGCAATAAAATATTGCATTAAAAGAACAATTTTATCTTTCTTCAATTTGGGATTTGCACTTATACCTGGAATTTATACTTTCTTCGTTGGCTTGTTGTAAATTGTGTTTGTCTGTCGCACACGTGTACTAGAATTGAATTTGGTTTCTTGTGTTTACTTATTTATCCGAACAAGCGAGAGCAACGGCAAATTTCGATTGTTTTTCTGCAGAAAAAATAAATATATTTCAGCACGACACGAAGGAAATTCACCCCACACGAGCCGAAATGTCAATTTATTTCAGCAATTTCAAATATATTTTTTACTCTATTTTGTTAGCGCATTGAGCGGGGTAAAATTACATTCTCAGTAAAATAAATAAAAACACAGTGTAGGAGTGGGTTGCAAAAAGCGTTGCATGCATCATCCCTTTTTTACGACTAAAATGCGTTCAACAAAAAATCCTTTAAATTTATTGACCACTTTCAGAGATGTTCTGGCATTCATAGCCTTTGTGTAATACGCAATACGCAATTTTTTCATCCTGCCAAAAATGGGAAACAAAATTTAAAATGACAAACAAGTTTTAAAATATTTTAAAAGCTTTCAAGACTGATGGAGGAGTGGAAATATGTGAAAATAGTTGCTTAATCGACAGATGGATACGCTTTTCTATAAAAGAACGATTAATATTTGAAATATGAAATTAATTATAAGCATCATTGTTGGGCCATTTTAAGTACAACAAATGTAATAAGTGGAAAAATCAATTCAATTAAGCGCTCTTAATTACACTTTTGATCTTTACAATGGCCTTTCAATTGAGTGAGGCGATAATTATGGAAAATGCTGCCGAGATGCAGAGTATTTAAAAATTGAAACGTAAATCTGCACAAATGAAGCCGATTATGCTGCAAATACAATTTCACAGACTCTCGCCTCGTCGTCGTCATCATGGCCATCATGGCCACCATGGCCACCATGACCATTTGACCATCCGACCATCGACGTGGTCAAAAGCGGAGTTCCAGCCACTTGGGGTCCTCGTCCTTCCCCGCTGGAGTCCCCGAGCCCCCAAAGCAATCATCTTCCTTTTACCACTGCATCGAAATAATTTTTCATGTAAACTTGATTTATTTTCCTTTTTTGCGCTGCACATGAAATGCAGGAAATGCAGCTGCAGTCCACTCACTGCACTCTTGGTCATCGGTTTTTCAATCATTTATTTTCAGCAGTAGTACTTCCCACTCTTGATAAGCTGTCCACTGCCCGAATCTCGTTTAATTATTTAGTTATTTTCGAACAAGCTTATTAGGCTGCACGCATTGCTGATAAGATTTGATTTGTTTGCAAAATCTAAGCATTATCTGTTGCTAGTTGGTAGGAATTATTAATAATTACTTTTCCGGCACTTTTTGTATTGTATTGGAGCTCCTTTGTAGGGAACTGAAGTGTTAGCTGTTAAACTTAAACCAAATCAAATATTCAGCTCTTTTGAGAGCCATTCGATCGGCGGATTACATCTTTCTTCTCCAGTTTGGCCATTCAATGACATTTCATTCATAAAACCATGTCCGAGTTTTCTGCCATCTCACGGCCGCCTGTGAAGGAGAGCTCGAAACGATTTGGAAAGGAAAATAAATCACAAAACCACTTGCCCCAAGTCAATCACACATTTAATTTAGTTTAATTGTTGACGGCGGGAGTTGGTTACGTAACCGATTGATTAGTTTTTGCCTTTTTTGTTAGTCTTCTTTCATTTTGTGCGTTAATTACTCTGGGTAACCAATTGGAATTCCCGCAGCTTCTCAAAATAGAGTTCAAAATCAAACTTTCTCTTTTGTTGCCAAAGTTTTCCACTTTCGTCTGAGGTCGCGAAGCGGTTAGCCCATGTTTTCAGCAAATTTAAATACAGAACAGCAAAGAAAGTGGTAAATGTTGCTAGACACATTTACCGGGTATTAAAAATCATTGATTAAGAGACTTTACCTCCGAGTCTCTTTTAGTATAGCTACCTGCAACTTGCATATTATTGAATTTGAAAGATATTTCAGCATCTTGGTCACATGCAAATGAAGCATCATAAATGCAAATTCAGCCAGAAACTATATCCAGAACTTATCTTTGCCACTTCCCGACCTGCAGCACTCCGAAAATCTACTGCCAATTTTACTTTTATGGCCTTGCTGGTAAAAAAGGGCAAAAGAGTCGAAATGTGTTATAAATATTTCAAGTTCACACCAAAATACTTTCGAAGACCTTAACGGCTCATGAATTCGATTTATAGCCCCGCATATCATGGAGTGGTCTATAAAAACTCCATTCCATACACAAATCACTGAATCTGCTGGGGAAAAAGCGAACTTAAAATTTGCGTGACCGAGCAAGTTACGCTCTGGTTGACAATCCACATCACTTTGTTCGCAGATGGGGACAAAAACTGACTGAAAAGAATGCCAGAGGTCCAACAAAAAAGTAATTTGCACTTGAAAAACACTCGAAATTAATTTCAATTAAGTTCAATAGACGCCGATGATCGAGCTTAGAAACCCAACTGGTTTTTGTGGTGGAAAATAATTAGAGTGCAGCAACTGACGAAATCAGATCGTTCAAAGAATGTTGACAAATTTGATGCGACCAGTTTCGATTTAGTTCTCTGAAAACTGGCTGTTCCACTTAAGTGTTTACAATAAAATTGGATATGTTTATTCATCAGTACATTGAATACCATAAGCATTTACTTCCTAATACACCAGATCAATCAAAAGCCTATGCCAATTGATTTAACCCTCCTCATTTAAAGACAGCTCTCTTGGCCACAAGATTAATTAGCAGCTTATCAAAAAACTCGTCTTGGACTTTTTGAGCTTCGGCTGTCAATGACAACCTGGCCGGCCAAAAGAACAACTCGGGTTTACAAAGTTTACTTGTGTCTCTGGCATTTGGAGAACGCTTTGATTTACTATGAATAATTAACGATGCTAATCTGCAGACAGGCTCGACTTTTGATTTTCTTCAGTAATTTGTGGTGGAGTGGAGTGGCGGGGTGTGGAGCGGGAAGGGGTTGGACCAGGTTGAGGTCACAGAGGCGCCGATGACAATCTTCTGGCTCAACCGGCTATGGGTATTTAATTTTTGAATGGGCCCAACCGGTTATCTGTACCTTCATTTGCCTGCGGCCCCTGGTCTTCCATCGGACCATCTGCTGCTGTTTTTGTGCTGCTGCGGGGGATGCCGCTGCTGCTGCTGCTGCTGCTGATGTCCAGCCATTTGAGCCGAATGGTATTTAATTATGTTGCAGCTTCTGTTGCTGCTGACGCGGCTCAAATCTGCAACGCATTTGCCAATGCTTCGCAGTTTTTACATCATGCAACACATCGTGAATTTGGCATTCCCTGAATAGCTAGCTTTACTCCCTGCTTGGCCTTGTGACTTTCGACTTGGCAGTTGCTGCTGCAGTGGCAACTTTATCCTTAGCTGCTGCTGCTGCGTCTTGCGCTGCTGCTGTTGCTGCTGCTTTAGCCCTGACAGCCACTGCTGCTGCTGCGGATTTTTCCTTGGCTGCCGTTGCAGCCCACGCTGCATTTTCCCTTGTTGCAGCTGCTGCAGTTGCCGCCCTTTCCTTGCTGTATTCGGCTGCACTGGATGCTTTTTTCCTGGCCGCAATGGCAGCATTGGATGCACTCTGCTGGACAGCCACTGCTGCTCCCGCGGCTTTCTCTTTGGCGGATGCCGCTGCTGCTCCTGCCTTATCCTTGGCCGCAGTGGCCGCCGCTCCTGCCGCTTCCTTGGCTCCTGCCGCTTTTCCCTTGGCCGCCTGAGCAGCTGATGCCGCAGCTTCTTTGGCTGCTGCGGCTGCTGCGGCCGCTTCGCCTGCCTTTTTCTTGCCCTCATCCATTGCGTAACCTAACCGCAACCCAACGCATCGAGACAAGGTCGTCTGGTTTCGCTTTCGGCCGCATCCACCTCGTTCGCTGAATTGCTGGTGTCGATTTACACAGCAAAAAAGATATTGAGTTTCATGTTATTTCGAATGATATATATTTTTGGTAAGCACGACTGCTTTTGACATGTGTAGTACACAATATACTTGTATGCTTGAAGTTTGTTTTTACAAACAGCGAATTAAAACAACATTTTTTCTAGCTGCTCTTCGTGATATCATTTGTGGTATCTGAAGATTTTGCTCGTATACAAACCGGTCACGCGGGCATCGCTATCGCCCATATTTTTGGTAGTTGCCTGCCGACCACTTTCAGTTTCGATTTGCTGATTTTTATTGTTATTTTGCAACTTGTTTGGACTGCTTCCTATGCGGCCAGCAGCAGAGACCCACAAATGGCACAACAATGATAAATGCGGCCAGGGAAGTGATATCGACGGAGTAGCGCTGCCATGAACTTTGCACTATCAGTAAAGCTGTGACAAATTCAACCATCAAACTTGGTGTCTTAAGCACTAGGAGTCATGGGCCACAAAGTCGTGGCTTGGCTGATCCCAAGCCAGCAGGCAGAATGTTTAAAGCCGAAATGTTTCACCTCTGGCCACTTGACCAACTGACACGCAAGCGTCAGGTATCTCCAGTGACCCAACATCACTTAGCGAGGCTCGTCTCGAAAATAATGTTACAAAAATAGGCATAAGGCCTCTGAAGACCAGAGATATGTTTGCCCAACACTCGGCACTTTGGTACGTCAACTTAACGTGCTTTGCGTCATAAAGTTCAAGTTCATTATGCCATGTAGGAGGCGAAGTAGCAACCAGTTAACAACTCACATGATGAGGGAGTCCGGTGGCGCCCACAAGCCACCGAAAGGAAAACAAAGGCAAAAAGTAACAACACTTTGCTTAAGTGCCACTTGCCGGCGATTACACAAACAAGCAGGGCCAAACAAAAACACGGCCATAATTGCATGGCTCTTTTTGGGTATTAAATAATTACTATTTAATAATGAGCAGATGCCGCAGCTGAGCTGAAACTGGACCATGTTGGGATGCAGCCTTAATGTGGGTCAGCCAGCCACCCATTTATATGTTTCGACCTTCAGATGCTCCATTTAAATAACAAATAAAAATTCATTAAATTACACAAATATTTGCCAGCTTTTTATATCAACTACAATGCTGCAATATTGCGTAATTAATAAAATTGCTAGGCCTTACTAGGTTTTTTTTCGTTAAAAACTGTTGGGGGAGGAGACCACGTTTTTAATTACCAGAATAAGAATTAATTTATGCTGCAGCACATTTTATTGGCTTTCTCGTCGCTCATTTAAAACCTAATCAGCAGCACTTTGACATTTGATTCCGACGAGACCTTCTTTCGTGACTCATGATCGAAATACACCGAAATTTAAATGTCAATTTAAAGATGATCATTTGAATGCGGCTTTCGATCCCGGCCAAGTGAAAGTACCGGTTTCAATGGCTTTAGCGGCTACAACGGCAAATGCAGACAATTGAACAAGTCGAGAAAGTCCGCAGACCGAAGACAATTCAAATGCATGTAATACTGTCTCCAATTGTCGGGCAAAACGGTTCGTATTCCGTTCGTTTTGTATTTTATCTCCTCGCAGCTAACTGAATACCTAAATTGCCTGGTGAGGTTTTCTTAATTTTTTTCACTACCCGATTTTCGGCCATTTCCAGCCACTCAAGTAGTGGCATTCACCTCCGTTTTTTCGCTCAGCTGTTGTTGGCTTTTTGCGGCTCGCTTCTCCTTTTTTATGGCCAACAGTTTGGATGTTTGACTTGTTTGAATCGGGCGGAAAGGGCAAACACTGAACATTGGCAGTGATTGGCTTTAGTTTGCCGCCATGTAAAATTGAAATTATACTAAAACAGATTTGTAAATGCATGTGAACATTTAAGCAACGCTTGGTTTAACAGGATTTTTAGGGCTTCGAATTAATTTCAGTGACACCACTTTGAAAACTAATGAATTATAATGGCATTGGACTGCGAATAAATCAATGCCAAACAGACCTGCAATGCGACGACTTAAATGTTTAATCCGCTATATTATCGTGATTGGCTCATTTATTGAAATGCGGTTAAATATTTAGCCGCATCGACGCTGCTAATAAACTAATTAAAACATTGCTCACTGAAATGCATAAACACCAATTTCGAAGGCAAATAAATAAGGACCGCAGTGACCACGACTGCTGGTTTTGAGGTCATCTGCATTAGTTCCATCCAAAGCGGATAATCTAGTCGCCAGCAAAAACAGAGATACATATACTGCAGCCAGCAGATAGATATAAATTAATATGACTCCACAATTGTCGTTTCTATTTTCCATCTATTTTTTCTTTCTCTTTTGTTTTTTTCTGTCTGCTCCGATGGTCGCCAGCTTCTGGCAATTTGTCCTCCCCGGCGACCCTCTGCAAACAGTGCATCCATCAACTGATTGTTCCACTGCCTCCAATGTATCTCTTTGCATGCGATTGTGTATCCCAAGCAGACTCACTGTAGCCTGACTGATGACATGTGCCGACCTCCCCAATCGCACACTGCGCTGAAATGGCTTCGAAAGTACAACTAAATAATCGCAAACTCTTCTGGAAGTGATTGCATGGGGGATTTGTCACACTTTTGTAAGCTTACTTTCATAGGGTTACTATTTGTCTGTTTTAAGTGCTATTATTGATATTAGAAAAAGTTTCTTTTAGAGCCACTGTGCCTGTCCGAATATCGCTATCTTTATCCGCCTTTTTTTCGAGGGCGTCACCAGCTGCTGGACTCCAATTTGTGCTTAATCATCCAAGAGTTCACATGCCCATGAGTCACCCATTCACTCAAACACTCAAACATGAACAGATAGCAACTGACATAATAGGAAAAGCAAAGGAAACAGAGCAATATCCACAATTTGTGATGGTTGTCTAGATGACTTCGGTTCAAGACCGCTTTAATAGATGACCCACATTGGCGGCCACCAGTTGATTGTAAAGCGCGTTAATGGATGTAAGGCGTGAATTTCTCGGGCTAATTTCCAAGCTGGCCTTAATTGGTTTTCTCCGCTCGTCCGGAAAGTCAAAGGTTAGGCCCGTGGGCGTGGCGAAATGCAATATCCCAGTGTCTGGCACCCAGACTCGACGCCCATAAGATTCCGAAATTTATGCAAAACACTTCAATATATTTTATGGAGAGATCTCGTGTCGCAACCAAGGAACAGTAGCCCCTTGTCTTGTCGGTTTCATGTTAGGCAGTGGGGCACTTAGGCAGTTAGGCAAAGTCACTCACAGTGGCAATTTGGACGCAAAACATCCGCAAACACACAGCCCCAAAACCCCAAACATGAAACAGCTGCAACCGCTCGGCTGCAAGTTGCAATTTATTGCCGCTTCATCTGCATGGACCACTAGCTGCAACTGATGCTCCTGGTGCTCCAGAGGCTCCAGAGGCTGAAACACTCTTGGCTTAGCATTAATTTTAATTGTAAAGTGCTGCAAGTGTGACTCAAATTGTAGCCTATTCAGGGATTACTAATGTTGGTATGATAATGACTTCGTCTTCAGTTTGACATGCAACCATAAAATGAGCTTAAGAATATTTGGAAGTCTAGAAACAAATGTCAAAAGCCATGGGAAGAAATATTTATTGTAGGCGGTAAAACAATATTAGCTAAAATAAATTTTTCCATCAGCAATCCAATCGTCACATTCAAAAACCACACAATATTCCATAAGATGCGAGTAGTGCCAATAAAAATAACCATATAAGCTGGTTGATTGCCGATTTACGGCCTGACCTTAGCTGAAATGGAAAGGAAGATCAGAGCAGAGCAAAAAACGAATAACTATATATATTTAATTGAGTTTTGCAAGGCGAAAGGAAACTTGTTGGCCCAAACTGCAACTGCAGCTGCTGTCAAGAGGAAGCCAAACGAAAAACTAAAAACCAAAGACAAAAAGACAAAAAGAAGCGGAGACAACGAAGATGCCACACAAATTTTGCTACCAAAACAATTTGCAATTGTTGCTGCTGCGCTGATGCGGCCGCAATTTGGTTGGCATGGCACACAATTTCCATGCCACAGAAGAGTTGCATGTTGCATAACGCAACTGCAGTTGCCACCACATCACACGGAAAATCAGAGACTCGAAAATCGGGGGAGGAAAATCGAGGGGCACCCACCCATGTGAGCTTTCCCATTAGCTTGTTGGGTCAATCCGTCGCTGCTGTTTGCCAAACAAAATAGTTAATTATGCTTTTGTTTGCCAGGCGGATTGAGCACTTTTCTCGATTTTCCCCTCTTCCCGGCAATCGGCTCTTCATCAGTTTCGGCTTTGTCTACCACTTTCAAGTTGACATTAAACCCTGGTTTAATGCCGGGCCACAAAATGTCATTAATGTCACAGTAGATGGAAATCTTCTTTGTTTATGATGCGTTGGAAAATTAACCAACTCGCATTTTATACTCAATCATTAAACACTTCAGTGAACTTGGTACGGAATTTGCGAAAATAAAAAGGGAAAACGCTTAGCAGTGAAACCGTTGAAAGCTGAATTTCTGGGAATTATTTTTAATAACTATATCACTGTATTTGCTTATTGAATGGGCAATTGGTATTCTACTAAAAACTACAAACTAAGGCAACTCTATAGATACAGTTTTTCGTTTATTCCCATGAAATTCGAGACACTTCTGTTGAGAGTGGGTCAAATCGTCCGGCCAAGAACTGAAAAACAAGATTTCTGGGCCCCTGACATGTGGCATAAACAATTTCCATCAGGGTTCGAGTTCAATGGTCACATTGTTGGTTTGCTTTTCAGCCTGCCGACAGAAGGGGCATTTGTCAATATTTTTGGTTTCGAACGGCGTGTAGAGACTTTTAATTGAATTCTGTTGTTTTTGGGTGTTTTTTTTTATTGGGAGTGGCGCCCGAAAAAGAAACGGAAAACCCAAAACAGATTGCAATAAATGATAAAGTGTTGTCCAATCGCTGCTTCTTCGCATTTTCTTGCTTGCTTTATGCTATATGGGTGAAAACTAAATTTGATACGTTCCAATTACTAAATTATGCAGTTAGGAGCTCTTTCGATGTGAAAATCGTTCACCTGGAAGACTGCACACACTCAGACCATGGAGAAGTGGGAAAACACGAAGCCCCAACCGAGATTAAAGAAATCTCCGCTCCACTATCGCCCAAACAAACAGACAGCAGACAGCAGAATAAAACCAAATAATGGTTCGGCTTGAGTGAATATGGGCGAGATTATAAAAGCAAATTCAATTTGTGGACAGACCGCAATGGAGGAAAGTAGGAAAATTGTCACTCACCTTAGCAAGCTAATTACTAAACGAAACTAGTAGATGCGCTTGATTTTCAGTTCTTATTTATTTAACTTCACATACCAACTTGCATTAACTGAAAGACTAAGGACAATTTGAAAGTAGAAATGATACAAAATGATCTATCTAATCGACGTGCTCGCCATGGCCAAGTTCCTCGCTGGCCCGCTTCTCGGCCCCAATCTCGGCCAGCATTTTCTGGGTCTCGCGAGCCAAAGTGACCAGGATCTGAAGCCTGCTCTCCAGGGTGTGGATGCGCTTGTGCTGCATCTCGATGATCCTCCCATAGCGCTTGTTGGTCTCCTCACGGGACTCGGCTAGGTTACGCCAGTAGGTTATGTCCTTCACCCTATGAAATGATGTTGCCTTCTTGAGGCTTCCGATCAGAGCCATTATAATTCTGGCCAGAGTTCGGAATGAGATGCGAGTTGGCAGCGACTTGGATAAGATATCATCGATAACGGAACCGGCGGAAAAGTTCGACTTGAAGGTTAGTTCCGAGGAATTGTGCTGCAACTCCTGGACTTGCTTAGAGCTCAGATTGTTGGCCATTTGAAAATGGTAATCTTACGAATTTTGAAAGTATTTTGTATTGTCTTATGAATTGTTGTACAGTGAGAGATCCTGCTGAAATCAAGCGGATTTCCTATTCAGCGCCTGCTGAGCTATACAAATGATGTTCCAATAAATCTACAAAAATATGAATGCCCCATTGGTATCCTTTCAATTATTTATTGCATTTTAATGGAGTTAGCTTTTCGCAGATTATTATCTTTGCTCTGCGCACAAATCATCAAAATGGCCAAGCTTCATCGGAACGCCATAAAATCGTACCACAATTTCCATATTTTCTCTGTGACCCCCAGCAAAAAACAACAATCAATGCCATCAAATGGCTATGAACTCAATTCAAAACAATTCGTTTTTCTTTGCTCTGTCATCTGAATTTGGCTGGAAACATTGAACTCGAGCAGTAAACCCAGTGATGACCAAAAGGCAACCATTTATAGCAACTTGTTGCTCTGGTTTAGCATGACGCCAAAGTTGATGATAGTTTTTTGCCAAATGTTAATAACAAGTCGAAGCAAACTAGAATTTGATGAGCGCCAAGTAGATGATTTCGAGTCTTGGCTTTGACCTTTTGAGTGGGCAAAAAGTTTCGTCTTTCCCTTGACGTCAGTGGCATAATTTTCCAGTCATTACTCCCCCGAGAATTTCCACAAATAGATATGGCTGCAGTGGGATCTGTTCTACCCAAAGGACGAATAAATCTGAAAATGGAGAGGAAAGTTTGCATTTTTATTCTGCACCATCTTGTGATAAAAATAACTCTGTGAATTGAGTCGGATTTCTGGCTAATTAGCGCTGGCACTGCAACTACAAAGGCAGCAATTTCAACTGGCTTGACTTTAATGGAGAGGTCCTGCCACGCAGTAAGTTCACTTAGCCTCCTGATGCTCACGCTGCGTATGCGTAATGTGTGGGTGGAAGGAAATGGGACACAGCTTGATAGTGTTTGTCATGTGAAGGCGAAAGTGCTCAGGAGTGGCAGTGGGGGTCGTGATATTGAACCCCTATTAATGGAACCCTGGATTAAATGGAACGCATTTGTTCCATTGCAGGCCAGGAAGGAGTTATTTTCGGCATCTTTGTAAACACATATAACTACAGGCAACTAGCTGTAGCCATTTATTTTCGTTTAAGTCTGAAAAGGGCATTCCAGTTAAATCCAAAGAGTCTAACATCTGCTGCGCAGCCAACCTATATTACTACTTGCCGGGCCAACTGACCCTGGTGAATTGACAAATGAATCATTTCACTCCGCTAAACAGTGACCCAATTTGGGAGGTCCTGGAAGAGGGTCCTTATAGCCCGGTCGATTATTAATTGCCCTTTTGCGTTGAATCTATTTGTCAAGAGTTTTGTCAGAAGCTCCTTTATCGGTGGCCCTCTAACTCTGATTTATGTGTGGCAGACGTATTGAAAGCGATTTCGTTTCTTTTTCAGCTGACTGTGGCACTTTGCGTTGCACGTTGCGTATGCGTGATTTTAATTTTAAGTGGAGCCCCTTTTTCCGGCTCTTTGTTGCCCGCTTTTATGGGTCTTTCGCAGCCTGAAATATGTTGCCTTTTAGATGAAAATTTAGAAGGCGATCTTAGCACTAAGCTACCCTTTATGATATTTGAATGTGCTTTTTATGCATAGCTTTATTTGACATGCCAGATTTCACCCGACAGCTTTTCCATTATAAATGTTTCGTGCTTCATCGAGTTTGCACTTATAAATTATTTACTTTAAATGTCCTCAAGCTGAGACATCCATCCTCTTTATTCAGGTCCATAGGAGTGGGTATTATATTTAAGGCTTGGTCTCAAGGCTATTTCGGTGTCTGCTGTGTGACATTGTGGTCCTTGTTTTGTCTGTATTTTTCAGAGAACCAGACACATTGCCACGTTTTGTTTGGTTATCGACAGTCGTCAGGTCTGGTTTTTGTGATTCACTTAGGGGAGAGACCGACCAATAAATCTACAAGAAATTTAAAGATGCCGCCCTCTCATAATTACTAACCATTCTGTGCTATTTTAGGGGCTTTCAAAGTTTTGGCAGGAAATATTCCAGGCCGCTGTGTAAAAGGTTTTCCGTGTTGTTCTAGAACGAGTGTGTCGCCGAGGAAGCTTGGACATTGTTTAAACTGGGTCGTGGTCGTGGCCTGGGCCTTTGTTTCCCAGTTCCTGGCAGCATTTGCAATTTATAGATTATTAATCTTGAAGCAAACACGGGCCGCGCTCGCAATGCCTTTCCTTTCCATTCTGTTCTGTTGTGTTTCGGGCTGAAACTTTAGAGAAACTTTGCCGTAAGCCAGCACGAGAACCAAATCCTTTTCATTCCCTATTTGCACTGCCGGAAAATTGGTGCACTTTTTCGAAGTGAAGCCTTTCAGGTTCGTAGCTTTATATCTTCTTCAAATTCCGTGCAAAGCGGTTTGGTATTTGGCCTTTCTCTGAGTGTAAGAGTATTGCTCCCAGTTGAGTTGAGTTATTGCACCGCACGGGCGTCAACGTCGCCAATGTGGCGCAGATTAAAGAAATAAATTAAAACACTTGTCTCCCCTCGTGGACTCCGTGTCCCTTTAGGTGGAAAATCGAGCGCTGCGGCTACGTGAGGTGGCCACCGCCATGCAGCAGTACCAGGACGATACCTCCTCGGCGAACGCAGCCTCCACCGCCCGCCAGTGGGCGCCAGCTGGCGGAGGAGGAGCGGCGGCGGGTGGAGCAGCTGGCAGCGGGGCCGACGATCCCGGCGGCAATGTCATCCTAATCGGATCGGTGAAGGACTTCGAGCGCAATGCGGTCCACGGCCTCAAGTTAAACGGGATTGTGGCTCTGGAGGAGACATCGCAGGTATGGTTCTTTATATAGCTGCTCTGGATAATTGCAATGAATTGATATTTATGATGCAACATTGGCAGGGTCTCAGTGGAGGAACGGGTGGACCCGGTGGTCGCTTGCCAGTAGCGCCAAGTGGTCGTGGCACCGAAGTGGAGTACTTCAATGAGGCGGGCTACATTCGGGCGGGCGCTCTGCGCAATGGCGAAGATCCCTATATCAGGAATCGCTTCAATCAGGAGGCCAGCGATGCTCTGCCCAGCAATCGGGATATACCCGACACCAGAAATCCCATGTAGGTTTTCCAGCAAAACATTTTCGAGCAGAAGCGTTTTAAAGTTAGTTTCCACGTTCGAACGCCAGGTGCCGAACCAAGAAGTACCGCGAAGATCTGCCCGAGACGAGTGTCATCATTACCTTCCACAACGAGGCGAGGTCCACTTTGCTGCGAACCATTGTGAGTGTGCTCAACCGCAGTCCCGAGCACCTGATACGCGAAATCGTCCTGGTAGACGACTACAGTGACCATCGTAAGTGATTCTGTGGAATTAAAAATATTTGCTTAGCGAATTCTGGTGGTTTACAATACTTAACAATATTATCCAAACTACTTTTGCAGCTGAGGATGGCCTGGAGCTGGCGAAGATCGACAAGGTGCGCGTGATCCGCAATGACAAGCGCGAGGGTCTGGTGAGGTCCAGGGTCAAGGGCGCGGATGCGGCCGTGAGTAGTGTCCTGACCTTCCTGGACAGCCACGTGGAGTGCAACGAGATGTGGCTGGAGCCACTGCTGGAGCGCGTTCGCGAAGATCCCACCCGCGTCGTGTGTCCCGTGATCGATGTGATCAGCATGGACAACTTCCAGTATATCGGCGCCTCGGCCGATTTGCGCGGCGGTTTCGACTGGAACCTGATCTTCAAGTGGGAGTACCTCAGTCCCTCGGAGCGGGCGATGCGCCACAATGATCCCACCACGGCCATCCGCACGCCGATGATCGCCGGCGGGCTGTTCGTCATCGACAAGGCGTACTTCAACAAACTGGGCAAGTACGACATGAAAATGGACGTGTGGGGCGGCGAGAACCTGGAGATCTCGTTCCGCGTCTGGCAGTGCGGCGGCAGCCTGGAAATCATACCCTGCAGCCGGGTGGGTCACGTTTTCCGCAAACGGCATCCGTACACCTTCCCCGGCGGAAGCGGCAACGTCTTCGCCCGGAACACTCGACGTGCGGCGGAGGTCTGGATGGATGACTACAAGCAGCATTACTACAATGCCGTGCCCCTCGCCAAGAACATACCCTTCGGCAAGTGAGTACACTGAGCGAAATCACATGGCCTGATACATATTGGCCTTGGGCTTGTACTTCTTGCTGTGCTTCGAGTTCATTCACTTACCTTGGTTTTTTTCGTATCTGAATACTTGATGTTTCGCATAAATTCTTGTAGTGAGCCGAATACTTTAGCCAAGTTATTTATTGCACATTGTTTTCCTACTTGTATCGCCCCTTTCGCTGCCACCCAGCATTGATGACCGTCTGGCTTTGAAGGAGAAATTGCATTGCAAGCCGTTCAAATGGTATCTGGAGAATGTCTATCCCGACCTGCAGGCACCCGACCCACAGGAGGTTGGCCAATTCCGGCAGGATAGCACCGAGTGCTTGGACACAATGGGCCACTTAATCGACGGCACTGTGGGTGAGTACATGTGCGCCTTTGTTTCTTGAGTTTTATAAAGTTGAAACGAACGGAGAGTAAATAAGTCAAATAAACAAATGAATGCCACCGAAAGAAGTTGCCTAAGTATGCAAACGTCTAGAATTTTTTACTGCATAATTCAAGAGTCCTATAAAAGCTGTTTTAATAGCTGTTTATGTATTTGTATTCCTCCACCGCAAACTCTTAGGAATTTTCCCGTGCCACAACACCGGCGGCAATCAGGAGTGGGCCTTCACGAAGCGCGGCGAGATCAAGCACGACGACCTCTGCCTGACCCTGGTCACCTTCGCCCGGGGGTCACAGGTGGTCCTGAAGGCGTGCGACGACTCGGAGAACCAGCGGTGGATCATGCGGGAGGGCGGACTGGTGCGGCACTACAAGATCAACGTGTGCCTGGACTCCAGGGATCAGTCGCAGCAGGGCGTGAGTGCCCAGCACTGCAACTCGGCACTGGGAACGCAGAGGTGGTCCTTCGGGAAGTACGCGTGAGGCAGTGGACTGGGTTCCGAGTAAACTGGAGGAGGATAATGCAGATCGGTCGTGATATATGTGCAAGTTGATGGGAGGAAGCCT